TTCCACGTTCCTAATCGATGCTCTAAGCTTCCACCACAAGGAGCCAGAACAAGGACAGTAAGTCAAACAAACTAAACGGAAAGGAGACGTAAAAGGTCGTGGCTGAAATCAGTGAAAAAGAAAACAAACAATACAGAGAAACCGATGAGCCTCAGAGCTGGTTCTCGAGAAAAAAATGTCTGTAAAATTAATAAACCCTCAGCTAGCCCAATCGCGGAGGAAAGAGAAAACAATGACCAACGTCAGGAAAGGCAAGCGCCGTGGCACTACAGAGGACAGACCTCGAGATGAAGGGACGGCGTCACCAGCTTCACGCCAACCATTTCGACAACGGAGAGGAAATTCCTTGACAAGCACGTCTTCGAGATGCAAGGACCCAAATCTGAACAGCCTGACGTCTACTTTTAAAAACTGAGCTCTGACTAAAACCTCAGCACGAGGAAAACTCCAGGCCTGGATGGCGCCCCCCGCGCCCCCCACGCGCCCGAGCTGGGGGCAATGTGGTGCCACCGCGGCCACAGGAAGACGGAGAAGGGCGCCCCCCGCAGCCTGCGTGGGAAGCCGGTCACTGCCGCACCGGGAGACAGAGGTGGCGAGAAAAGAAAACCGCAGCCAGTGTCCCTCCGGAGGACAAAGTCCTCGGCCAAGTATCGCCACGTGGGGTCCGGTGACACTGCGGGGCACCGTGCCGTGAGCCAAGGGGCTGACCCGGGAGCGCGAGGTCACTCACATCTTCCAGGGAAAACCCGAGTGACCGGCCACAGTAACCGCATCGAGCAGTGAGCCTCCTGGTCATCTCGACGGGCACCAGCAACACTCGTTCACGAAGCCGGCCTGCGGGGCCGGAAAACCAGCCCTCACCCGCCAAGCTGGCAAAGGGCCCACAAGCCCACTAAGACCGCAGCAAGGCAGGGCCGTCCACTCTGCCACCGCCGTCCGAGAGTAGACTGGCCGACGGGGCCGCTGCAGGGTGGTGAGGCACAGCGACGGGGCGGGGCGCTGTCATACTGACGGGTGACACGGCAAGGACGTGGCGCTGATGTGTGAACTGCGGGGCAGGACGTAAAGTCGTTATGTGCAACGAACCATTCAAAATGAAATAAAAACATACTGTCGACGACGGAACAAAGTATCTTGCTACCTAGGGAAAAATCCAGTGAAAACACGTGAGGCCCTTACAGAAAGAACCTCGCCGAGGACGGCAGGCGGGCTCAGCGGAGCCACATGCGGCCTTCGAGGCCTGGACAACCCAATGTTAAGATGCAACTCTCCCCGAAGTGCCCTACGTACCGGAGGCAATCCCCATCAAAGGTCTAGGAGCCGTTTCCGTAAAGATTCAGAAGCTGATTCTAAAACGTCTGTAGATCCTTCAAGAGTCTTTAAATAGAGGAAAATTCACACTACCTTATTCCAACGTCTATGATAAAGCTACTGTATCGAGCCAGCAATGGCACAAGGAGATCAACGGGACAGAACAGTCTGGAAGGAGATCCACACCAGTGCGTCCCCTTGAGTTCTGGCAAAGACACCAAAGCCAGCTGACGAAAGGAAGAGTCTATATGACAAATGGTGCTAAAACACAAAGAAAAAATGAACCTCAACTCCAACCAGAGCTGGAACTTGTGTTCATGAGGAGGTGACATCCGTGTGCCAGGACACGAGTCCACAACAGAGGACCCCACTAGTGACACAACCGGAGACTCGCCCACCACGCTCGGCCCGGCCAGGGAGCCATCGACTTTCCCTCCATCTCGTGCAACGGGGTGGGGGTGGGGACACCTTAAGGTTGGCAGTGACCCAGAGCCGCTCACCACGCCTGGGACTAAAGTCACCGGGGGCACAGACGCGGACAGCGAGACAGAGACAGAGGCGTTGCGTGTCAGGTCACAGACTAATTAAATACTGCAATTGTTCAACAGGCTTCTGTCTCCGCTACCTCCAGTAGCAGCTTTACAAGATCCTGACGCACACTGCGACACCACAGCACAGAGGACCGTCTCTCCAGGGGCAGCTGGAGGCAGCAGTCCTGCCCCGGGGACACCAGCTTTTCTCGGGGGGGCCAGCTGCAGTGTGATCGCACGGGCCCCCCACCGGGCGCCTGTGGCACCTGAGGCCATTCCGTCCCATTGAGCCCGTAACGCCTTCCCGAGGTTCTGTTCGTGGAGACACCACCCCAGAGCACCCAGCCCGTCTTCAGGGACGTCCCGCAACCCCGTCACAGTTCATTGTGACGAGCTCTCGAGATCCGGCTGGACAGGTCCTGTAAGTGCTTCTTCACCTGCAGAGACAGCACGGCTCATGACGCGGGCCCCTCAGCGCTGCGCCCCCGGACACCATCACCAGCGACCACTGCAGCAGCTCGCGTTCGCCAGGGGGCGCCGCTTCCCTCAGCCACCCCGTCACTTTCAGAAGACTTCCTGTCGGGCATGCAGCGGGGCTGGCTGGCGGTCCCACGGATGGGCCTGGCACTTTCCACAGCCTTCGCTCTTCACAGAACCCTGCTCCTGGGGTCCCTGCCACCCACGGGCACCCCTGGGCCTCGTTCCGCATGCGCCTCACCCACGCAACACCCTTCTCCTCCGGCACCCACGCCTGTCACGTGCTGAGTCCCAGGCAGGTTCCAGCACCACAATGTGCTTAGAACCTGTCCTCGGCACCCCGCCCCGCCAGACGCAGGCCAGACACCCCCTCCCTGGGGACACTCGGGCTTCAGTTTCCAGCAGCGACGCACCGAGGTTGGAAGGCACGAGGCTCTCCCGCCCAGCACCCTCCGTGGGGACACCGTGCTCACGCCCTGCCTGCGGCTGGGGTACCCGCTGCCCTGCTCCTTGTCACATCATAAACCAGGGTTCTCTGGAAGAGGGCGCCAGACGCAGGCCAGACACCCCCTCCCTGGGGACACTCGGGCTTCAGTTTCCAGCAGCGACGCACCGAGGTTGGAAGGCACGAGGCTCTCCCGCCCAGCACCCTCCGTGGGGACACTGTGCTCACGCCCCGCCTGCGGCTGGGGTCCCCGCTGCCCTGCTCCTTGTCACATCATAAACCAGGGTTCTCTGGACGAGGGCGCCTCACTCACGCTTTAACGTCGGGACGGTGCCCAGATTTGCGGTTGGCCTCAGTGTGCCGTGGAGGGCAGCTTGGCGGTCAGAGCACAAAGCAGTGGCCTGGGCCTGCTGCTGCCTCGGGGTGCTCCCCGTTTCCTGGGGGCCAAGTGTGGTGTCCACGTGTGTGGGTGACATCTTAGGATGTGCTGCCCACATATGCACTAGGGGGACGCCAAAGCCACTGCAGGCGGCTCGTCCTGGAGCACTCACCGGCCACACGCCTTGGGGCCAGGAGGCTGGCGGTGGCTGGAGGAGCTGCCCTGCTCACCTGCCCCGGCGTGCCCACAGCCCTCACCAGGCCACCAAGTGGCGACACCCAGGTCCCGGCCTCAGGAGGCCCAGACGGTGGGTGGGAGGAGCCAGGAAGCCCCCGGCCCGCCCTGGCCCACTGCAGGGCCCCGCAGGTCCCTGGAAGCAGCAGGCGCGAGGCAGCGAGCCTGCTGCCTCCACCAAGCGCCGAGGGCGTGGACGACCAGCCCCACTCTGCAGGAGGGGCCCGAGGCGCAGACGGGAAGGCCAGGGGACAGACTGCGCCGCTGCCCCGGCGGAGGCCCCGTGGGCGCGGAGGGACGAGGAGCCGCACCCACCTTGTAGCCCAGCTCCTTGGTCTTCTCCTCCAGCGCGGCGTAGCGCTCCCTGTTCCGGCCCACGTGCTCGTGGTCGCCAAACCTCTCCACGTGTTTCAGTTTTTGATGAGAAATTTCCAGCTGCTTCTGGTAGTGGTTATGTTTTTCAATTTTGACTTCAAAGTGCTTCAGCTCCTCCTAGAGTAACATTTAAGCAACACGCTCTCAGTGTCACTGGGCCCCGCTCCAACTGACGGCCGCTCCAGGACGCCAAGGGCAGGGCACACGCCGGGGCAGGCTTGGCAAGGACGGTGGCCAGCTGCCCACCTGAAGGCCGCATACGCCGAGCTCCCACCGTGCAGCTCGTCCAGGAGAGCCCCGAGGGCTGACTGCGGCCCCCCTGCCCCTCACCCCGTCACGAAGCAGCACGTTCACACACAGGTGAGCAGCACTCACCTGCTAGAACCTGACGGTGCTAGTGCCCCGTGCACGCTCCCGGACCCGGACCCAGAGGCCGCTCGTGAACAGGACCCGCCAGGCACCGGGCTCCCTCCCACCCAACCCCACGCCTAGCCAGACACCTGGGGCCCGGGCTTCGACCAGCCTCCCTACACTGTCCTCTGTCCCCACGGCCTGTCCTGTGTGGATCAACCCCTGGCCTTGACCCCTGCCCTCCACCATCGTCCTTCCCACCCACCCGACACACGCCTGGGTTGCACGGCCCCCAAGGCCCACTTCCCCACAGTCCTGGACTCAGCTGTCACGTCCCCGGCCCCAAGTGCAGGGGCCAGCCCGGGGGCCGCGAGAGCTCATCACACGTCCCTGCGAGCAGATCCCAATCCGTGGGGCGGACATCCCACAGGGACCTCTGCTGGACCCGCACCGATCCCCCGCCGCCTCCACCCCAGGGCTGTTCCCTCTGACCTCCCAGCCAACGACCCCCCCGCTGGGCCCTGCACCCCCACCGGGCCCAGGCAGGGTCTCCTCCCTGCACCCCACTCGCTTCCGCCCAGCCCCTCACGCTGAGCACAGCGGAGGCCCAGCGATGCCCCGAGGCCAGACTTCCATTCCCCGGACCAGGACACGGCACCATGGCAGTCCCCAGCCACCAACCAGACGACAGAGGACGGGACGCAAAGGGCAAGGAGGAGTCCCTGGGAAGAACCACCCGCTCTGCTCACACAGAGAAAGCAGCGACGGTGCCCCACCTCCCCACCGATGGCCGCTCAGCACGCAGACGGTGCCGCGCCCCTTACCCGGAGCGACGCCAGCTCCTCCTCGGTGAGGTTGGCCGACTGGGCCAGGTCCCACAGGTCAATCACACGGGGCTCCTCGAACTCTGGCAGAGAGCACGGCAAGCTCAGGGAGGGCGCAGCAGCCCCCACGACGCGTGTGCCCGCACGCCCCGCCCGCACGCCCCGCCCGGCCGCGAGCACGTGGCAGTGTGCTCCGGAAGCACCCGGCACCTCCTGACCACGTTCAGTGCGGAGGCCACAGGGCCCACAGTCCTGGCCCCCAGGCCCCCGCACGGGAGTGAGGCAGCGCTGGTGTCGGAGCCGCTCCATATGGAGCTGTCACCGCAACGCGACCCGCGGTCCTGACGAGGGACGGGAAGGCTGGCATCGCGGAGGGGACAGGGAGAGACCGAAAAGCAAGCTGGGTGTGACCTCCGAAGAGAAGGGACGGAGACAAGCCGGGTGCACCTGCCACGCGTGGCCCAGGCCCCACCCCGGGCCAGCGGCGGGCGGGGAGCCCGACTCACCGGCTCCGGCGCCGTAGCCCTGGTGGCTGACCCTGCGCAGGCGGTCGAAGCCCTGGCTGATGCCGCGCAGCCTGCCCTTGAGCTCCGCGTGCCTGCCGCGTAGCACCTCCTCACGCACGACGTCCCCGCCGGCCGGGTCGATGACATTCTCCTGGATGTCTGCGGGAGCGGACGCAACCGCTGCTGGGGGCCGGGGACGCCGGCCCTTCCCAGCGCGCAGACGGCCTTGCGGGAGGGAACCCTGCACTCGGGTGGGTCACGCCAGGGAAGCTGCGCCTCTGCGGGAGGGGCAGCCAACAGTGGCAGAGGCGACTTGCCACTGAAGCAGGTGTCCCTGACTGGTGTCCCTGCACCTGTCACAGCACCCCGCCCTGACGGGCTCCCCAACAGCGAGGCAGGCTGGGGACCTGGGAACAGGGACACGCGGGGCGGGGCACCTTCGGTTCTGCTCAGGGCCTCCAGCATGGCGTCATACTCGCGGACTTTCTCCCTGTGGTGCTGGAACTCTCGCCACAGCTTGTCCAGCTCGTCCCTGGAGAACTTCCCAGAGGTCTTCGCCTAGGGGAGAATGCCAGTGGTGGGCCCCCTTGTCACCCCACTCACTTCTCCGGGGGATGATGCGGTGACATGTAAATAACGCAGATCCTAGACTCAGCCTGGAGGCTACAGAAAGCCCCCTGCATGGGGGGGCCCTCCCCCCCACACCAGGATGCGTCGGTGTGAAAAGTCCCAATTCTTGGCCTTGCTCAGTGTAGTCTGGATAGAACGTCCCAGACAGGAGCCAGTGGAAAAAGGGGAGGGAAGCAAGTGCCTTGCCGTGGCCAGCTCAAACTGCCACCAGCACCCGTTTGGGGTCTGCGCCTCACCTCCAGGTGGGGGCACCTCTCAGAATCACAGGAACCGGCTGTGGGATCAAACCCCATTAAATACGGACACGGAGTTGAGACGCGGTCACGCCACACCGGCGGCTGTGTGTGAGCCTCACGCCGCCAGGCACGTCCTTCGCCTCTGCAGCTCCCCCGCCCTGTGCCCTGGCTCCTGTGCCAGGTGAGCACAGTGCCCCGGAGCAGGAGCAGGGAAGAGCCCAGGAACCAGGAATGACCAGACGACACCGCAGGCCCATAGACACACCCCCATGCGGGGCAGGGGCTCTGCAAAACGTCAGTGCACAGAAACCCCGGCAGCCCCCCAACTCTTAATGCAAGGAGACACGTTTCAGGGTTTGCGGAAAGCTCCGAAGGTACCTTGTGCCACAGCTTCTCCAGCCGGGGGTCCTCCAGGCTGTCCTGCTCCATGCCGCCACCGAGAGAATTGCCACTGACCGCCCGGGCGTCCTTCCTCCCGTCCAGACCGTACTTGGCCAGGATGACTAGGAGAGAAGCAGGGTACCAGTCAAGGCGGGTCCTGACGGGGGCGCAGGCGGGAGCTGGCCACAGGTGCCCTCTGCCCACCGGGTTCGCAGTGACCACTAGGGACCTGGCAGGACAAGAGAAGAACCAACCAGGGGCTCACTCTCCTGTCGTGTCCAGCGGCCAAGCAGACCCGCCAGGCAGACGCCGGCTGCTCTATGGCTCCCCCCACGAGCGCCGCTGGCTGGGATGCGGGTCCTTCAGCGAGGCCGTCTCTACAGGCCAGTGTCAGATTTTCAAAACCAAAATTTGTCGCCCATTTTTGGCTAGTGTGGGAGACAGCAACTCAGGGTGGAGCAGCGTATGGGGGTGCGGGGCTTTGCTACACCCAGTCGCCGACGCTCTGCAGGAGAAACGTCGGTGCCAGCACCCTCCAGCAAAAAGCTACCAGCGGCTGGGAGGGCAGCTCGGCCGCTCACGTGGGGACGGCCACTGGGGCTACTTCTTGTAGCACCGGCCACATCACCCGCCCTGTGCGCAGACGGGGCCCATGCTGGTCCCTCACTGATGCATCGTGGGCCAGGCACCTGCCACCCCTGGGAGCAGCTCTCCGAGGCTGGATTTGGGGTTCCGGCACAGTAGCTCTCTTGTACAAGCCCTCTGCCGGGGACACCCCGCACTCGGGGCCACTCTAGATGTCCCTGGCTGCTGGCCCTCCCTGCTCTGAAGGGACGGGGGCCACCTGGGTTGTAAAACCCGGCTCTACTGTCCCCTCCAGAGCCTCGCTTCGCCTGTACTCCATTCCTGCCACCCCGGGTCCTCCGTGTCCAAGCCAGTCCCCGCGGGGGGCACCTTGACCCACGCCCTTCCCCAGCTCCTCGCCTGTGTCCACCCTCAGTGGTGCCCAGCCTGTCTCCATCTACACTGCCTGTGCCTCAGAACCCACTCCACACACAAGCTCAGACCACTAGGAGCTGTGAAGTGTGCGTTCTCGGTGCTCGTCTGTGAGCTCGTGGGTTTCCTAGGTGGCAAACAGCAGTCCAGGTCCCCTCCCTAAACTGCAGAAGGCTCCTCTACCAAGCCATCAAGACCGTGGTCGGTGTAGGTCACACAGGTGCATGCACCTATCAACTCATCAAACTGTGTCACCGAGATCTATATGTCGGCATGCTTAATTTACACCCGGAAAAACTATTTAGAAAAAGGTTGTTCAGATGGCTCCCTGCCCAGTCAGCCAGGGCCTAGACTGCCCCAGGGCCCGCGACCTCGTCCTGCCCACAGCCCGGGTCAGAATCAGGAGCCAGGACCACAGAGCCTGGCGACTGCCCCTCGCGATCAAAGACAAGGGAGGTACCACTGAGACTGCGTCTGAGCTTCGCCTCTTCCTCCCCGTCTTCGTCCAAGCCTTCGGCCTTCAGCTTCTTCCAGCTGAATTCGTCTCTTTCCTGTATCTTCAGGTCAGCATGGAGCTCGGACAGTTCCACGGGAGAAAGCTGCAGCTGTGGGACAGGAAGAGAGGACGTGTGACAGACGGCCCCAGGACGAACCAGAGGTCCAGCCTGGGAGAAAGTGACTCTGGAGACACTGAGAGACAAGCAGGAGATGGATGCAGGGTCCCGGACAGTCAACATCCTACACACAGTCCCCTAGCACGTCAGAGGGACCGCTGGCCCCACCTGAAATAGACATCGGCATGGAATGCTCTAGAAATCCCAGGTCCCTAGGGAGCCGCCCGCTGTCAGCAGCCTGAGTGTGCGGGCACAGGAGGGAGAGCCGGCTGCACAGGGCAGTTCCGGTGACAGGACACGCTGCCTTCCCACCCTGGGCCCTGGGGACATTCGTGGGCACCTGGGCACACAGGGAGGGCGCAGGGACACGGATGCAGGGCTCATCCTTGCATCAAGCAACCAGGACAAGGATAAGTGGTGACTCCCCAGGACAGAAGGCTGAATTTATGGAAAACTTCCAAACAAAATAAAAAATAAAAAGCCCCCTCCCCACAGCTCCCCGGGACACTGGCTGGGAGGCTCTGCCCGCCATCTCGCTCCTTCCGGGCTGTGCACAGGACCTCGGACCAAGGAGTGCTGCCTTGGGCACCTCAGCCACCCTGGGCAGGAGTCTGGGCACAGGGCTTGAGCTTGTGGTCCCCTGTGAAGTGAATAAAGACCTCAGACCCTAGAGGCCCTTTATAAACAAATCACGGAGTTCCTGATTTCCTGTCGTCTCCCACTGACCCCTAATCTGACACTGGGGCCATCTCTGCTTCTTTAAGGGAATGTCACACTCTGCAGTGGGGATAACCCACACCCCGCGTCCTTCCAGCTGGGTCCCGGGGGGACTGGAGGACGCGGGGCGCTGTCCACAGTGCTGCCAGAGGCGTGCGTGGGGCTGCAGCAGGAGTGAGGGCCAGGGCCCCGGAGGGAGCAGGGCTTCCTTCCTCACGAGCTCCCGCCCCGACAGCGAGGCCGTGATTACGGCTGGAACTGCCACGAGTCTGGGGTGCACTTTTGAGCAGAGAAGAAGAGTTTTGATTTTTGAGTTTTTAATGGAATCGAGAACTCTCCCGCCCCTGCAGCCCGTCTGCTCACTCCCAGCCTTACGCAGGTCCTCGCCCTTAAGCCCTTGCAGCCACCCGCGAATGGTGCTACTGTCGAAAAGAAAGAAATAAAACCACAGGGCGGAAAACATGGCGCAGATGACAGAGGCTCTGTTCATCCCTCTGGCGACCAAGTCAGAGTCGTGATGGAAACGAGGAGCAGCAAGGAAACATCGCCGGGGATCTAGAGGAACCAGCCATACGACGAGGCAGAAGTCCAAGACGTCACCCTGCAGCGGCGGAGGACAGGACGGGGCGAAGAAGCGGGCTGCTGGGTCCCGAGGGGCTGAGAGGGACGGAGGCTTTGGCAGCGGCAGACCCCTCTAAAGGGGCTGCATCCATGAGTGGATTTTTGCAGTGACAGACCTGCTCACTCAGAGCACCAGTGATGATTCAGCTGTGCACAGGAGCCACCAGGAACTTACAGGGAGACGTTGTCAGGGTGAGGGCTGAGGCGAGACTCGCTCCGTGCAGAGTTGCAGGCGGTATCCACTGTTCCCCGTTGAGCTCTCCCCGTTCCCAGTGTGGGGACACAGCACCGCCATAGCTGCTGTGAGGTCATCAAACTGAATAACTGAGGTCACTCAGCCGAGAGGATTCCCTGAAACCCCGCCTCCCCCAGCAACTATAAGCACAGCATCTGTGGATTGCTTGCTAAATCTTAACAGGTGGCCCTGGAGGGGCACAGGCTGGGGCTAAACTTGGCCTGCAGCTGAACCCCTCTCAGGACTGTGCCACCGGACACCTACCACACAAAGCCATGCTAATAAGACCGGGAGACTTAGGAGCTTTGCTTAGTACACAGAAACAGACGTGGAAAGGCAGCCCAAATGGGAAGACAAAGAAGCAGAAGCCAAATGAGAAAACAGAACAGAGATCCAGATACAGTGGAGTCAAGAATCTAACAGATGCAGAGTTCAAATCACTGGTTATAAAGATGCTCGGTGAACTTTTGGGGAGTGTAGAGAACTTCAACGAACAGATAAAAAACATAAAAATGGAAATTATAAAAAGGAACCAGTCTGAAATGACGAACACGTTATCTGAGATGAGAAGTATATTAAATGGAATAAACAAAAGAAAAAAGAAAGTGAATAAAGAAGAGGATCATATGCCCTATCTAGAGGACAGGAAAGCCAATCGGGACACTCAGAATGGCAAGAAAAAAGATGCCAAAACTATAAAAATAATTTAAGGAGCACATGGGACACTGTTAAGGCTCCAAATATTCGTCTGATTGGCATCACTGAAGAAAATCAAGATGTCGAACAGCTGTTTGAAGAAATAATGATGGAAAGCTTTTCTGACCCGGTGAAGGAAATGGACATAAAACCCCAGAAAGCTCCGAGAATTCCAAAAATCAGGGATCCATAGAGGCCCCACACCAAGACACATCATAATTGAAATGCCAAAGATTAAATAAAATATTAAAAGCAGCAAGAGAAAAAATAATTACCTACAAGGAACACCCATGTGACTGGCAGCTGATTTCTCAGAAGAAGCTATGCAGGACAGAAGGGCTTGGCAAAAAATATTTGACAAGATGAAGACCCAGGATCTATAACCAGGAATAATTTATTCGGCAAAGCTATCATTTAGAGTTGAAGGACAGATAAAGAGCTTCCCAGAGAAAAACAAGCTAAAGGAATTTATCACCACCAAGCCAGTATTACAGGCAATGTTTCTTTAAGAAGAAAAAAAAATTATCAAAAAACAGGAATAAAGAATGGTAACAACTACATTCCTATCAATAAGTACCTTAAATGGAAAAGAATTAAGTGCTCCGACCAAAAGACAGAGTGGCTGAAAAGATAAGAAAACAAGACCCCTACATATGAAGAGGAAGGGGATGGAAAAAGATCCTGCTTTGCTGGACCTCGAAGGTGCTTAAGTCAGAGAAAGACAAACACTACATGATTTCACTTAAATGCGGAATCTAAGAAAAAGAACAAACTAATCAAAAATAGACTCACAAATATAGTGGATAGTTTGGTGATGGACAAAAGGGAGGGAGCTTTGGGGGGCTGGGAGAATGGGGTGAAGGCTAAAGAAGTACAAATGAGTAGCTGATGGATGGTCACGGGGATGGGGAGCGCAGCAGAGGGAATGCAGTCAGCATTAATACACTGGCTAAGGGGAGGGTCAGCGGAGGGAGGGAGCAACTGGGAGGATTGTTTTACGAACTATATTCATGTCCAACCAACGTACTGTATACTTAAAACTAATTAAAATAAATAAATTTTAAAAAAACCTACAAAAACAAAAACACAAAACCACCCAACCCACAAGAAAAAACCTGCTTTGGGATTCTTAAAGTTTAATGGCTGATTTCTAAAGCCATAGCAGCGTGTCCTCACGCCAGAACAGCTGGTCAGAATGCCATGTCCAGGTGGACTCCAGCTCCTGGCTCCGACTGGCTCCAGGCTAGGTGCCCGGGCAAGGCCGTCCTGCGTGGAGTTGGGCAGCCCTGGGTAGAGCGGGCTTGCCAAGATGCGTGTGACCCAGAGTGCAGAGTGTGCCCCGGACGGTCAGACCAGGGTTCAGGGAAACGTGTCCTGGGGCAGCTAAGTGGGGAAGGCTGCAGCCTGTGACACACTGTGACACAGCACGTGAAGAGCTCTGAGCCGTTTCCCAAACCCACTGACTCCCCAGGACCAGTCCTGGAGTGGAGAGCGGCTAAGGACATGCCGATGGCCCGCATCTGAGCTTGCGCCGGAGCTGGTGCACGGCAGAAATGCTCTGTGGCTTGAGGATGGACCACCAGCCCCCACTCCTCAGAGCTCTGCTCCAGGTCCCATGGGAACACCTGGCACCCACTCTCTGGATTCTTTTAATCTCTTTACATTAGTTAAATGTTAACGCCTCACATGAAGAAACTAGTTAACAGAAGCCAAAGGCAAAACAGAACCGTCCAATATTAAACAGAGGAGCAGATCAACAACGGGAGACAAGCAGACACGTGGGATGGAGCCGCTCAGCAGAAACAAGCAGCGCTTGTGGCACGTTTGTGGGTGCTGGCCCCACAGGTGTATGCCGGGCTTCACACCCACCCAGATGTGCGCACTGGACACGTACAGCTTTCACTATACCCATCACGTCTCAATAAGATGATTTAAAAAAGCCAGTGAGAACCAGTGTCCACCGAGCCTCTGGCCGGGCGATGGTGCGGAGCACGATTCAAGGAGGCCGGCAGCGAGCGGTCACCAACACTGAGTGTGCCCCAGGTGCGTACCCGTGAGCCTGCGAGCCTGCGCAGACCTCCGGGCAGCCCACCCTCAGCTTCTGGGCTCTTCCAGGTAGATCTGTGGAGGTGCTCCAAGGACAGACCAGACCATCCACCTCCTGGTATGCAGGTGAGGCAGGCCGCTCCCGCCCTCCCAGCGTCTGCCCCAGGGCACAGGGATGTGGTGCCCCAGGGGGAGGGACCTGGGCTTTCAGACACAACTCCCTCCCTCCTTCCTCCGCCTCTGGCCCTCCCACCTAGCAGGGCAAGTATCTCGACACATTTTAATCACCCGGTAAGGACACAAACCCTGACAGGAACTTGGGGCTCACGGACTCGTGTCCTTGAGTGTCTGCAGCGGCACCCTGCGGGCCTGCTGGGGTTGTCCCCCTGTGATACCAGGACACGGTGACCCTGAGCTGAGGAGGGGCCCACACCAACTGCAGCCCGGCGCACACGGGCGCGGTCCACAGAGGCACCCTTAAGACTCCCCTCCCTCCAGCCCCACCCGGGCCTCGCCGAACCCCCACAGCGCCAAGGACGGCGCCCGGCGCCGCTGCTCCGCAGTCTTGCAACACCCCGGGAAGCCACCAGCCCACAGGGCTGGGCAGAAGTAGCCCTGGCTCCCCCGGTCCCGTGCAGCTCTT